GTACTATAATCATTGTATTTTCTATCATAGAACATCAGGTTCTTATTAATATTTTTAATAATCGTCATACTGTCCTGTCTCAGTCTCTTTGTGATCCTGTTAGTATTGCTTGGTTACTTTATAGTGAACATATGCTAACACAAGAAGCAGTTAGTAGAGTGGTGTCAGCTAGTCCCTCTATTCCTAATCAACGTGAGGCTCTATTAACTGCTGTCAAAGAAGCTGTTCAAACTGATCCCAACAGTTTACATACATTTGCTAATGTATTGTGTACAATCAGTACTAATGTATCACTGGGACAAACTATACTGGATGATATTAGTGAGTAATCACTAACCATTATTATATTCATAGTTTATAGACCACTGGAAGTGGGAATTGGAAAAGATATGAATTTCATAAATTTTATATACGGTATCTGCCCACATGTCATAATTGGCTGCCATTTTGTTGGCAAGTTTGTTAAGGAAGTCAATGGAGGCACGAAGAAAATGCCTCACTTACCTGCTATAGCTCTATCAATAGCTAAAAAGTGCTTGTTATAAGAAAGAACAGCTGCCTTTAAGCCTTTCCTGTAAAGGATTTGGTCAAATTTGCTCCAGAATTCTTAATACAGGTTTGTTTTTATGTCGGCCCATTTGTTCTCCATTGAAAGTTGCCAACCAAAATGGTGGCCGAAATTTATTTAATCCTAAACCATGCCTTACAACTGTATAAATTTCTAATAATCTTCCTACGCAAACAATTCTCACTTCCAGTGGTCTATAGTTTACTGTTGGTGGGTTAGTTATTAGAGCTATTATACATGTGAATCAAATTGCTGTTCAGTATATCCTTGTTTTATGTGTTTAGGTAAGTATTTTCCTACTCCTGAAGTGGGTGTGGTTCCTGAGGCTATTAAAGATCATGATGTAGTTCCACAAGGTAATAATTATTAATTAATTGATAATACATTCATTAATTTTATAGCAAGTACTGCTGATGAAACCAATACAATACAATCTGGTATGTAGTAGACACAGTAATATAAAATTGCTTCATTATTTATTTATTTTAATTTATAGACATGTCTCCTTCTGATTCAGCAGTTGCTAGTAATTCATCTTCACAGCCTTTATCACCTCAAAGTATATAGCTTGCTACACCTTTTATATACTATAAAACTATAATATTTA